CGTGCATTTGCAAAAAAAAAAGATCAGGAATGACTCACGATGAACAAAAATAAAGCTTTTTTTTTAGATAGTGGGCACACACTTGAGTCATATTGTTCTGGTTTTGTGATTATTCCAGATGATGACTAAAACTACCACAATAAAAGCTCTGCAGCTGCAGCAGAAACAGACTGGTTTATCTCAAACATCCATCCGTTATCTTCCCCAGACTTCTTGGCATCACAAACTGGAAAGACGTGCGTTTAGTTTGTTAAGTCTGGACCTGTTGGTTTAATTAAGCCGGAGCAAGCATTCACATTATGTGAAAAGATTGAGAAAAACACTGAAAGGCTTTATTTTAAAACACACAGAACGTGATTTTTTTTTTCAGTACAAAATAACAGGTGAAAAATAAACGTGTGAAAAATCAAAAATCAGTGTGAAAATAAATTTTTTTTAAACAATTTTACTAATAAAGTGTGTTCTGTTAAGCACTTTTGGAGTGTAGTTTCTTTGCAGTATCAGGTTTCCCACACTGACTGATCCCAGATGATTGGTTTCCATGACAGCACTCCTTTTCTCCACAAATCAAGCCCGGCCCTCTTTCTTGGGAAGCTTGCACTTAAGCATGATGAGTGCTCTCCTGCCTGTGCATATCACTCATCTGAATAGATTATTTCATTCATTCTGTTTAAAAGGAAACAGTATCTCAGCCTTTCTTTGGCTTCTGTGTTTGGACCATTTTATACAAAACTAAATGCAAAAACACAAATTAAATAACTGTGGGAATTTGGGATGTTTTGTTCAGTCGAAAATCAACATGTAGGAAGAATAATCTATGGTGACCTCCCTGTTTATTTGCTTTATGTGTGTTTTCAGGTAGAACAAAGTGTGTTTCTTGTTGCTTTGGTCCAGGTTTGGAGCAGAATCTTTTGATGATGTATCGTTTGATCGGGAATTTGTCTGCATTTGTTTACTGGGAAGTCGAAAAGGATGAATCTAGTCTGGAAGTGGAAGTGCAGCTCCGCAGATCTGACTCCTCTGTTCAGTAGCACAAAATTCACCTGAAGAGAGAAATGATTTTTTTAAAATGGAGACAGAAAACTCTAGAAGAAAATAGTAAAATTAAATCTGACTGAGTACAAACATCTATCTTCTCTCATGGTTATAGATATTMCCTGAAGTTTTATAACCTTATTGGCCAAAAATTGTGTCTGTTTTGTTTGTAGTCTGGAAAAAAAATTCACTTTTTTCTACAAAGCTTTACTGAAATGAAAGTGTCGTCTTCAGGACAGGACACTGTATTTTGTGTAACTATTTTTCTTTCTTTCCTAAATGCAAAAAGACTCAATTTGTCCTGAATACTTGCTGCAAACGAACCTAATTTATTTTGATGGAAAAAAAAAATCTGTGCTTTTCTAATGAGTTACCAGAAGGRCTGTGTTCCCAGGCAGTTCACCCAAAGAGCAGCTGAGCTTTGTGATGATGAGGAGGGAGTAAGAAACCCAACATGTGTTCATTAAACCCAGTGACAAGGGACAAGAGGGGCCCCGGCATCGCAAACATGCATTTCAGATTCATCCCGACTGTGGCTGAAGAGCTGTTTCATCCCTGCTCTCCAGACATGGAGTGGTTCTGTGGAACTGAAGTCTGTTGTGGGCTCCTGWCAGCTGGGGCTTAATGCTAATCAGTGTGCATGTTATTCAGGGACATTTCTTTGTAGAAATACACACAAAACTTGGAGATGTACGCTGTATTTCAGGCATGTATTTACTGATGTCTAGATTTGATTTGATTTTAATTTAAAGTCAAATAAATAGACCAATATTTTTCCTGATCCATTCACATTTCTGACCTTATAATTATCCATGTTTACTTTTCAGGAGAAGTAACTTGACACCAGAGTGTTAAAAAGCCCGTCAGTATTGGCAGCTTTTTAAAACTGGCTCCAAAGTAACTGATTTAAAAAAATCTCTTGTTTAAAATTTGTTTTTTAAAATATTAAATC